TAAACGCTGCTCAATAGTTTCCAGAGTATTTGACAGCTCAGCAGTGGTCATTTGTCGCGGAGGAGGCGGAGGAGCTTCCTGATTTTCATCATCTTCTTCTCTTCGTTCTGCTTCCCCTGCAACAGAAAGTTCCTGCAGCTCCTCGGTGGTCAGCTCATCCGGTTGACAATTCAAAATGTCTTCAATATCCTGATATTCCACTTCTTCAAAGCCTAGCCTGTTTGCCAACTGAACGCAGCTTTCAGTAATTTCGCATACTTGAGCAGAAGGCTCAAAGTCTTTAAAATCGCAGATCAGATCTGGGATGAGTTTCCGCCAAACACGATGCAAGCACTGTTTCGATACGTCATTCCAGGCTTCTACGACGTTGTCAATGGCCATTCTCAGGTTATAGTTCTTCCAAAATTTCATCACAGTTTCACAATTTTCTCCGTCGGTCGCGTCGATCAGCATCTTGAACGTTCGCCTTAAGTAGTAAGCTTTGGATGCTCCGATAACGCCTTGGTCAAGCGGTTGTAACAAAGAAGTGGTCCGTGCAGGCAAGAAAACAAAGTGGACATTTGGGTCTAATCCAGCTATCATCGGTGGGTGGCTTGGCGCGCTATCCGTGATTACGAGAACTTTAAAAGCCAAGTTCTTCTCGTTCAAATATTTCTTAATGTCATTCGCATAAGCATTAGAAAAAATATCAAGGCAAACTTGGGCGGTCATCCATCCTCTTTTGCTGTACCTGTAGTAAACGCCCAAACTGCTTTTAACAATTCCCCTTAGGGCTCGTAGATTGGCGTGACGATGAATCACCAACGGCTTCAGCTTAAGATCCCCACTAGCGTTGGCACCGAGCATTACAGTCACGCGATCTTTCGCAGCGCAGATTCCTGTAGCGTGCCTATGCTCTCTGGAAATGTAGCTCCTTTTTGGCATACGCTTTAGATAAAGATTTGTCTCGTCGAAGTTAAAAATTTGATCGAGGCAGTAACCCTTCTCTTTGACCACGTTTTGCACTTCTATTGGAAATGTTTGCGCGGGATCGACGTCCGCGCTTCCTGCTTCGGCACAGAGACGAACATTGTGAAAATTGTATCGATTCTTGAAACGGCAAAACCAACCACTACTAGCAGTA